TCACCGTCGGGAGAGAACAGGACTCAAGCTTGATCGAAAGTTCATCAAGAAAAAGGTGCGAAAAGGAGTGATCCGCGGGCCCATAAACAACTATAAATTCACAGAGGGCATTCATAGATCTATGCGAGAGAACAACACTAGCCCAATAAAACCCATGATCAAAAGCAACAAAGTCAAAAATATCCTTATTAGAACCGATCAGAATCCCACCAGAGTGGCCCGAAGCCGGTAAAGATTGCCACTGAAATCTATCCATACCCACGATAGCAGAAAGCTCACTGGGGGTAAAGGAATCCTTGAACGTTTCAACCAGCCCCACAAAGTCAATAGAGTTAGAACGAACCAAATCTTTCAGTTGGTCACGGCGCCCCCTAGCACCGAACCCTCTAATATTCTAGAATAAGGCCCTCATTTATACGAAAGGTTCTTGATACGGAGGCTCGACCTGCTGGGGGCCACACAGGTTATAGATCGTTTATTAGTACCCCTCTTAGCAAGGCAGGATGAGGATGAGGGTTGGCCACTACCAGCACCCGAAGCCTCCCCCACAACACAACCAGCATCCGCCACCCGCGAGGCAACAGCCTCTTTAGCTTTCGCAATGGTAGCTTGGGCCAATTCATTAGCCCGAATAATAGCAAGGAGCGAACTGGGAGAGCCAACAGAAGTATCAACCACAAAACCCACGTCCGACATAATGTTTAAAAGATGATCATCAGACATCGAAGGTAAAACCACCCGAATTGGAGAAACAGCGACCGATGGGGATGGGGAGGTACCTGGGGGAGGGAGGTCCTTCGCCGCAGCCCGCTTCTCCGCCCTTTCCAGAATCGAGCCACCAGAATGTGAAACCCGCCTACCTTTGCGGGCCGTGGACACCGGGGAGCGGATAGCAGGCGACCGCGCAGCAGGAGAGCCAGCGTGGGGGCCCGAGCGGGACATGGAGCCCAGATCATGATCAAGACGCCGACAGATCCCCGTCATAGATTGCTTCAAGCCCGAGGAGGTCCGGCTCTTAGCCGAGTACTTGCGAACTGAGGATTTCTTCTTTGAGGGGTGTTGTGATTCCATCATATCACGAGCAGGAGAGCTAGGGAGATCTTCAATACCCGAACAAGTGGGGGAGATAGGGTGAGCCGGGAGGTTGGAGCATGCAGCAGGCACAGGAGTAGCCGAGCAGGGCGGAGCTTTAGGCAGATCAGCAGCAGCAAAGGGGGCCATCTGGACTGAAGGGGGAATCACTACATCTTCACGAGGAGCATCACCAGCAGGCGCTTGAGAATGAAACATCTCACGTTCTGAGTCTGCCAGGCTATCCCATTCAGATTGAGTGAAGCGGAGATTAGACCCAAAACTCTGATTGGGGCCACCAAAAGAACCATCCCCTTCCTTGTCATGTTTATCCGAAGGGTTAGCAGGAGGAGGGGGGAAGGTGGAGCAGCCGCCGTCGCCCCCTCCACCCGCACCCGCAACCTGATGCCATTGGGAGAGGGATAGACATCAATGAAGCCATGCACCCGATCAGGATCAACAAACCAGACCTTCAACCGAGCAGGACCAACCTTGTTCAAAGACTCCTCATCCACCTCGATGGGTTTCCCAATCAAAACCCCAAAGGACATGAGGAAAACAGACGAGCGCAGACTAGCAGGTAGATCTTCAATCAACACCCACACTTGAGACAAAGGACCAACAGCAGTACCGTTGGATGCAGCCGCTTTGACAGAAACCACCAGTTGATTAAGAGGTAAGGTGAAGCTGGTGCAGGAAGCAATCATTCGCAGGCAATCTTTGGAGGGGAACACCACAGAGAAGTCAAACTCTGACAGCTGCACAACTTGCCAGTCCCAACTAGCCACATCCCAGATGCGAAGCCCTTCCAGCAGAGTTTGGGGGGAGATCTTTTGGTCTTTGATAGAGACAATAGCCGCATTGGACAGCGTAGGAGCCACCTCCCGAACAGGCAGGTCACCATCAAAAGCGAAGAAGGAGCAGCCAGGAAGACCCAGACCAAACTAGATGACCGCGGGAGGTTTCTGTCTATCCATGCAATTGACCGTGAGGTGACCATCAGAGCGACAAATCAAGCAGAATGGTGGATTGGTGCAGCGAGACTGAAAGTGGCCCGGTCTGTGGCAAGCGAAGCAGGTAAGCGCCGAGGGGTTGCTGTGGGAAGAGGGAGAGGGGCGGGATTGCTGCTGCAATTGGGGAGGGGGAAGGATCCCATCCCCAGAAGCCGAACCGGGCGGCCGACGCGCCGGCCCCGCGAAGGATCGAGGCGGCGGACGAAAACCAGATCCGGCCCCAAACAAGCGAGGAGGAGGGGGAGGTAGGGGCCGAGACGGGGCCGACGGACCACGCCCAACCCCCGGAGCCGGGAGGGAAGCCGAGGACGAAGACATCCCACCGCCAGAAGCCACCGCCGCCTCCCACGGGTCCACCACCGGGGAAGGAGAGGGACCAGACCCAGAGCCCTGCAAGCCAGATCCAGTCACACCCTCCTTCACCCGCTCCAGACCCGGAGCCCAGGCCTCGCGGGCACGAGCCGCCTGCTCGCGCGCCGCTTGCTCCGACTCCAGCTTGGAGCGGAGCGAAGCCTCAAGCTCCAGCTCCACCGCGGAGGCGGGGGAATCCTCGCGGCGCCGTTTGCAACCAGAAAGCGCCTCGCAGGAAGAAGCCCTAGATTTGTCCATGGAGATCACCGCAGCAAAAGGAAGAAGGAGGGGTGGAGGTGGGGGGGATTTGATGATGCGACGGATGGGAAGACGATAGCGGCACAAGTCAGCGGCGGACGCAGTAAACCCTAGCAGGGGGGGTATCGAGCCGCGAGGGATCCATAAATAGCCCGAGCGAGCCGTGCCCCCCTGGGCCCGGC